TGTTCGGGGCCAATTAAAGGAGGCGCGGCTCTTAGATTTTAGCGGTGCGTAACTGGAACGCTACGCGTGTAACATATGCGCCGTTAAATTAGAGAAGAAATCGGGAGATAATTATTAGCACACGGAAGGATAGCTGATATAATCGTAAGAGAGTCTCTGGACTGACGTCGACTGAAAAATGTTGTTTTGTTGCCGTGTCTACGGTGCGTTACGATGTGTATCGATCTGCATTATACTTGTTCACCGCGATTACGACTAGAAACGCAACTGAGAATTTATTCGGACTCTCCCCTTACCCATAAATTAATTAACGTATTTAATTAATAAGGCCAATCTCACGATCGTTGTCAACGCGTGCTCATTTATTAAAACGGGCGTAGGGTGTATCAGATGCCGTGCGCTTTCTCTCGAGTATAGAATTCACAGGCAAGAGAAAATAAATAATTTCTATATATTTCTATATTATATTACCGATAAAAAATGTACATTATTAATAAACATTGTATAAATTTGGCAACGACCAAATTATTTCTTCCGACGCGAACCTTTAACTTAATAATCAAATTTAAAATGATAATGTAGGCGCTAGATAAAACATTTAAACTATTTTTATAAATCAATCAATATTCTTTTTATAATTTTATTATTTGCCTAATATTTTATTAATAATTAAACTCTTCTTTTTCATAATAATATCGGTGCACAGTATCATCATTCTTCGCCGTATTCCCCTTATTCCGACGGCTAGTTTCAACACTTTTGGGGTCTCGTCTCTTCCGCTCGTTAACCGGCAAGAGTCGGAGCTTATGGTAATTTAAAGTAGTCATCCCTAGTCAATTCTTTCCTAAAGCTATTAGGCGATCATCCCGGATTATCCTACGATTCCGGGTTTACTCGGAACTCGACTTTTCTAAGTTTTCGTCCTTTCGCGTGTCTCGCAATACATTCAGCCTCGTATGCTTGCCTTTCCCGTCGATCCGCTAGATTTAACAGCAGGATATGTCTGTATTCTGAACAAGAGAAAAAAAAAAAAGAGAAGTTAATTCTGTCAAAACGGACGAAAGCACACTGTGTGGATGCTCCTCGAGCGTTCCTCGTGAGAAGGAGACGACGGACGGGGCCATTGGAGAAATGTTATTCCTGCCGGTGCCAATTACCGGCGTAACGATTATTAGATCTCGCTCGGATCGGTAATTACGTATTACGTCGGCACAGTGTTGGGCTTATTACAACAACTACGCGGTCTTATCTCTTGTGATTGTATTAGTTAGGAAATCATTTTTTCCCCGCATGCCGTTGCGAGTAACTGTACCACGGTCCCGGAGTCGTTACTACATTATCATTACTTACGTCTTTGTTATCGAGAAAACGCGACTTGTTCGCGCGGCAACCTTACAATTAGATTCTCAGGATGTTATGAGGGCACCGCTATTGCCGCTCGTGTCTCGCTATTACGTCGATGTGCGTGCGTGCGTGCGTGCACATGCGGCCTGGGCCGGAGAGATAATCGAAAGAAAATACAGTTAAAACTATCAATGTATACGCGCCCTAAGTGGTCGTAAATTATAATTACCGCAAAATCCCATGGCGTCGCGATAAGTCATATTAATTGCCATTAAACAGAGCAGCGTTGCATGACTCCGTTTCATTTTGACGAGGCACCTTCTTCGGAATAAAATAAGGTGGTACCTCGTAGAGAAAATTCGAGGACGCTAAAAATAAGTATGAAACGAGGTGGAAAAAGATCCTGATTTTTTTTTTCATGTCGAAAATTAGCAGATTTGACTGGGGGAATCGTCACGCTAAATTCCGCATCCTTTGCGATTTAAGTCGTCTATGACGCGATTACGTGAGACGGATTTAGGTACCTGCGCGAACGATATCAACAAGGTGGAGGACAAGAAAGTGGTAGCAGTTTCCAGCGAGAGGCGCCCTACGGGGAGTTCTCGACAGCATGGTGGAATAACTTTGCGGTTGATTTATACTTCCGACAGGCGTAACGAGCTTGCGGTCAGACGCGGCATCACGCGTCCATTGCCTGTACAAAAAAAAAAGTATAAATCAATAAGATATCACATTTTGTTTTTCATTGTGCAAATAAACGGTATAGCCGTATTCAGTTTGAATTGAACGCCCTTAAATCGAAGATTTGATTTAAATGAAGTTACACGCGCGACATTCTGAATATTGTCTTTTCGGACTGAAAGATATACTGTCAAAACTAGAAAATTCTTAAAACGATATAAATTATCATTTGTAATGTGTTAAAAACATAGAAGAGAATTTGAAACACTATTATTGTTTATATCGCGTCTTCAATTTAAAATTAATATTTTTGTTGCATCTGAATCATGATATAATATAAAGAATTTGAGAAAATGTTGATGTGTACGTTTTCTTTATGGAGCAGAAATTTATGAGTTTATATACGTTTTTAATACGAAAGTTTTTAATACGCGTAAGATTGGAGGAAAGAGAATAGGTTGCTTCCTGATGTCTCTTTTACCTCCGTCAGTTTCTTTGTCACGTTTCACAAAACAACTTTAGGTCCACTGCTAGAAGATGTTTAACAAGATAGTAGATTCGGACAGGATGCTCGCCTTGTTGACTATCAATGACTCAGATATGCAGTTAGGCTTCAAAAAATAACTCGTATTAAATATTTCACGATATATCTTTTCAGCGTACACAAGTTGCTAAATATATATATATTGAATTCTTATCAAAAAACTTATCATAAACTTGCAGTTATCATAAACTTGCATAAACTTTTAATGTTAAACAGTTATTAGCAATGAAAATAGAAACTGTTAGCTTTGGTGAGAGACATCTGAACGTTATCGTTCAAGTTTGATTAAAAAAAAAAGTTAAATCTTTCGTTAGCGTAGTTGATATCGATGAAGGGACCAAAAAATAATCTACGGAGAAAACAAAACATAAATAACGTCGAGACAGCGTTTTGCAGTGGGCAGTTTCGGGAGAGAACGAAAGAGGAGGAAGAAACAGTGAATGAAAAGGCCAACTCGAAGATTTGTGGAGCCACCGGTTTTCGTCTCGCAGTCTTCGTGGCTGACGTATATGTTATTCGAAGACGAGTCTTCTACCCGCGAGGGTACGATAGAGGGGTGACGGAAGGGCAACGAGGGGGAGGAGAGCAGAGTACACTCGCGGAATACCTAACGACTTTGGGAGCTTTGGGACGGCGAGAAGGGACTGTGAGGCCCGCCGTCCCAAAAGAGGTCCCAAAAGTCGCAGCACGGCGAAAAGAAGCCGAGAGGGGACCGAACGAAGCCCGTCCCGCGAGCAACGTTTTTTGCATTTAACTTCCTCTCCTGTCTCGCCTTTTATTTGGGCCAGACGGGAATTCGGCTAAATGCATTGATTAAACCGCTGACATCGTTCGAACGGCCTGGTGGCCACGGCGTCTCCGCGGGTCCAAACTGGCCCTTTTTTGCTCTCACCGATCCGTTCTCCCTTTCATTTTTGTCCCGCCACTTTGGACCGCGGATCGTAACTCGTACTTCACGTTCGACAATCGGTGTTTCGTGCGATCGGCGATTGGGGACGATTAGGTAGTTGGTCAAGAATTTAGCGAGTTGGAATCTCACGTTTACTTATCGGAAACAGATCAAATGACGGAATTCCTTTGTAATTATCCCGTTTGTTGCTTTTAGATAATTGCATGCTTGGCGATGATTAAATTAAGAAAGAACTCTTCTTTCATAATTCACGAAAGACAGGTGGTAAAGTGAGAGAAAGAAATAGAGATATATAATTTAGAATGTAAATATTCAATTAATCGTAAATTATAGTTCTATAATATGGTAGATAATATCTTCACGTTAAAAAAAAAATCTAGTGTTTCCCCGATACTCTTCTAACTCGCTGTTATTCGATTAACGCTCACGTGGGTGTGTGTGTTATCGATTCTATCTTAATAGACGCGCGAAGTGATAGCTGGCGTGTCGTTAATATTCCCGTAATACGGCATAAATATACAGCTCGGGAGATGTGAAAAGAACGCAGGTAATACACGGTTCGAGATTAAATTGACAGGCAGCCTTGTCGCATTTATCTTGTAACAAGGTGAGAACGATTGTATAAATATATCAGAATGGGACATACAGACAGAATAATTATATAGATAATACATAAGTGTCAAATATATAACAAGTAATTTGCAGAGATTATAGATTATTCTCTCTCAGCATGCAGAATTCGATTTACACATCACTCCCTTACTCGAGACGAAAATTTCGTTCAGATTGAACGATTATTCCGGATGAGTTTTTTCCTCTTTGATTGCTACGGAAGTAGTAAAACCCGCGCTTTTAATTAGTCTGAGCCGCACCGCGCGATGCGAAAAAAGTCCGCGGCGACGAAAATGGCACGAAATGCAGAAACGAATGCGTCTTTTCGCAGGTCGTTCGGTCGGACGGCGGAGGTAAGTTTGGCATGCATCGCTCGCTCCTCCGAACAGCAAAGAGCCATCTATGGAATTACCCCGATGATTAATGGTGCGGCGCTGGCTCGGGGCACCTTTCCACCTTGTTTTCCAATCCTCCTCTGCATCCTCCTCTTTCTTCTTTCCCCGCGGAGTGTGTGTCCGACTGCCTACATGCGCCAGGGGCCTCGTGCCAGGGCCAACGTGCTACCAGCCACCGGCCCATCTTGGGTTCTTGGGGGCTCCGGGGGCTTCGGGGGCTTCGGAATTCGCTGTATACGAGTCGGCCGACGGATTGTTCGGTTACCGTGTAAAAAAGCGTACAATGTTAAACCTTGCATTGCCCGCGCCGACCAGTATCCTCATCCGGCCGTCTGTCTGTCTGTCTGTCTGTCTGTCGGTCTATCTGTCTATCTGTTCCTCTCTTCATCCTGTCTTCCCGATTTAATCTAGATTAAATATTTAGATTACTTTGCGTACCACAACCGTGAACTTTATTAAGATACAGCATAGCATTCCCGCTTTTGTGTATTTGGTCTTATTATATATAATGCGTTGCTCGCGGGTAGTTAGCGGGTAGTTAACCAATTTTGCCCCGTACAGGAAAGCTCTCTTCTCCCGTTTAAATTTTCAATAATTCAAACGTCAACTTTTACTTTATCTCTTTCTCGAGCATTATTTTGTTTTATTATTACTATAGATGTAATAGCCAAGGAGTACCAATTTGTGTCCTTTCTTTTTTTTTTTTTTTATTGTGTTTTGACGTACGTTCTATTTCGTTTGATATGCGATTTAATAATTTCATATACGACTTCGAAGTCTTTGTGAAATAGATTTTCAATTTACGCTACGAATAGGTAACATTAGGAACTTTGCATCGCTTAAGGCAATCGTCGCGAAATCGCCTTCTACGAAAAATCATTTTATCTGGAAAATGAAATCGTCGACGGTGCGAAGGTATCGGTCCGTGTTCTGCGTAATCGCTAGGCACGAGCCAAGAAAAAGGAAATATAGGACGAAACTGCAGGGGTACTGTAGGCACAGGTACGAAGGACAGAGAGTATGGTGATATGACCCAGGGCAAAGTCGAGCGGCGCTGTGTAAGAATCGGCCGGCGGTAGAAGGAAGAGCGAGATATAGCGAATTCGGGATCGCATGTCGGGGAACAGTAAGACCTCCCAAACAACCCCGACGGGGGCATCTTCCCTGGGAATAGCAGTGATTCCGGGGAAATGTGCAATATCTTCCGTGATCGGGTATTATTACGTCGTGATTACGGGTTTTGATCTAGGCTAGAAGCGTCCAGAGACCTTCCCCTCTTGCCTCTTACTACCACCATCTCTATCTCCCTCCTCTCCTTTCGCCCTTTCCCCGGCACTCCGTGTGCATCGTCTCGCTGCCGATATTCGTGGACGGTGCAGCGTCGATGATGCGGCTAGGAATGAAGCCGAGGGAACGGCACGGAGTTCGGGAAGGGAGACCGATTGTCCTCGGCGACTGGTCGCCATCGTCGCCGTCACGTCGTCATGCGATTCGTGACGGCCGCCACCGCGAATCGCCGTGGGAAGCCACGTCAGCTTCCATTCCGTTTTCTCTCCTCTCTCTCTCTC